AGCGCTATTTATGCAATAGCGAAAATCAGACCTGAAAAAAATCAGGCCTGTACGGGATTCGAACCACTGACCTCTGCGATACTAGTGCAGCGCTCTACCAATTGAGCTAACAAGCCAACTGGGAGCAGGCCGTTAAGTTGATTCGTAATAAACCCGTGATGATAAATCAGATACAATGAATATATGAACTTCATATATTCATTGTATCTGATATATATCTGATATATATATTATCTGAATATATGAACTTCATATATTCATTGTATCTGAAATATCACTATAACAAAAAAAAATTTGATCATTTAACATGTGTTTTAAAAACTCTTACTTGTGAACTTGAATCCCTACACAAACAGAGAAAAAAATACTATTAGTAACTGTCCATTCTATCTACTCTTGGTACAAGCAGGATACAGTTTTGCAGTCTTGTCCGATTCAACAAAAAAGCTGAGTGTACACTCTGTTATCTTTTTATCACCTTTTTGTTGAAAAAATTTACTATGTAAGCCTTGCTCATATGTCATTTGACCAACCTCATGTGATTGGCTTCTAATGTAAGAATCCCTTACTTTTTATCTTTCCTACTTCTTCTCTTGTCACCATTACTGGAACTACTGCTAGTGCTTCTACTGCTACTTGATCGACTAAACCGGTGACCTGTAGTAGAATAATGATGATAATAGATTGTAAAGGTCAAGGTTATGTGGTCTTCCATGTTGGATTTGCATTAAAAATGTCATGGAGCTGGGGAATGGGGGTGTGTCTGAGAAGGGGTAACAAGCAGCATGTTCCTTATGTCTCTATTTGAGCTGATTACTCTTCAAGAAAAAAGAACAACCAGCACTCAAAAGTATTTAAAAAATTTCACTGATTTCAGATACTGCATACTTTGTTTATAATCTAGTGTGGTTTTATAATATGTCGACGAAATGAATGCACTTTTAAGGTTAAACCAAGTGAAATAAATAATAAAGTGTCCTTACCACTTTCACCTCTGTAAATGAGCATATTAAAGTGAATAACAGTAGCCAGCCTTCCTACCTCAGTTTTCTTTTTAAGCATACAATTTATTACAATGGAGCTTCTGAAATAGTTCCTTTACCTTTTCGACTTAATCTGTTGAAAAACAAGTGAAAAAAAAATGATAGAATTAGTTGGGTATTTACTTTAAAAAATACTTCACCTTAATAATAAAGATAGAACTAGACATGGTAGTAAATATATCACTATTAGCTTCGAACCTGCTGCGCCTGTAATCCTCATAACTACTGCTTCTGGAACGACTTCGTTTTCTCTCTCGAGACCGAGAACGTTTCCTCCGTTCTCGACTTCTACTCCTTCTGTCGCGTTTCCTCGAAGATTTTTGTTTCCTTCGTCTATCGTCCTCCGAGTCTGAGCTGTGTCTACCCATTTTTCACTCTGTTGTGTTGTGTGTCGTGTTGGACGATGCGATGTTGGACGGGTCATGCTATAACAGCGGTATCTTAGTTACTTTGCTAGATACCTCATGTATTATAAATACTAGTGTATCGCCACAGTAAAGACTCTACCCAGCCCCCCGCCCAGCATCGTAGTCTGTCTCTTAGTTCTTGTTGTTGTTAAACCTCGTTATGGAACACGCTCTTTTCCCAAACACATTTTGTGACGGGACAGAACAAAGGTTGCAAAGGAGACTGACTGCATTGTGGAAAATATGGCTCAGGATAGGGGTGATGTAATAATATATGAAAATCCTCTTCTAAATACTGTATTTTCCCTAACAAGCAGCTGCACTCTAAATATAAGCACCCTCCCCTAAAAAAAGCACCCACTCCCATGGTCAGAATATCAAACAAGCACTCCTTTAGAACAAGTGCCCCCCCTGTTCACTTTTTTAAAATATTAGGGGTACAAGGAAAACCTGTTTCTATTTCCGCATAATTAAAGACTTTTTAAGCTTAAACTACAACAGAATCAGTAAAGGTTAACATTTTATTAGTGAGTGCCCCCCAATTTAGCCACCCTCCCTCCTTCAAATAAGCAGCCTCATCTTGGGACAAATTTTAATTAAGTGCCAGGGTGCTTATTCAAGGAAAATGGGTAGTCCTAATTGACAATGATGATGACAATCATACATATTTCAAAGCAGCCTAATACTTCAGATTTTACACACTTTGCACTCCTGGGTCAGAAATGTTTCCTTTGTGGTCATTATTTGGGTTTCGAAGTGGATACTCAGTACATTGTAATAATAATGGAAAACATTATTCAATCCTGGTAATAACTGGTAGGGTATTGAACTTTTACCACAGGCGGCCCAAGCTCTCTTTGAGAACCACACAAGGAACACAACTTGCATATCGATTTATAAGGATTTGTATGGGATTTTCTACAAGATAGCCATAGAGAAGAGAAAACCAGGATTAAAAAAAACCGCTTATTCAAGTGAAATCGGTAAAATAACCACACCAGGAGCAAGCAACACACGTATGGAATAAGGTAAGCCATTTGTATTTAATATTTTCACTTTTAACTATCTCTATGGCTATCTTGTAGAAAATCCCATACAAATCGTTATAAATCGATATGCAAATTGTGTTCCTTGTGTGGTTCTCAAAGAGAGCTTGGGCTGCCTGTGCTTTTACTAAAGAAAATTGTAATGAGTGAGAATGGGTATGGCTATATCTTTTTTAAACCTTGAAAAGATTAGTAATGTTTGAAAAATTTATTGGTACTTATCTAGACAAGATTGCAGGAGAATTTATTTGCATAATTCAGGGCTTGACACTAATGGTAGCCAACTAACCACAGACTAGTAGAAATTTAGTTTTGGGCAGTGGTTTTCGATTTTCACTAGCCAGTTTGGCTAGTAAACAAACTGAAATTGTCGTAACATCTAAGTCCCTTGCCATTTTGCTAGTAAGTTGGAAAGTTAGTGTCGAGCCCTGATAATTACTTTGCAGAGTTAAGATATTAAGTACTTAAGAAAACAATAATACAACAACAAATTTGTTACAGTTTGCATCTTTATTTTCTTTCACTCTTCAGTTATGTAAAAAATGCTCTCAGTCTACAACTTAATTAATGTCATAGATATTTACTTGTGCCACATTATATAAACCAAGAGATAAGCTTTAATCCCAAGTTACTCCTGAACCAAAGGTAACAACCGGATTAGTTCCAACGGGTTTGTATGACACACTCCACATGCTATTTGGGACAGTCACTGAAAAATGAAACAGTCAAATAATTGGTTGTAGTTCATATCAGTTATATGTTTAAATCAAGAATGCCATATGATTCAATAAACCAAAGCTTTGCATTTTAAAAATTACTACAATTTAGACTGGCGCTAAACTTTAATACATGTAAATAAAATACTTAAACTCACAAACTTCTCCTGGTTCTAACTTCACCAGAACTTTACGACAAATACTTTTACAAACTTCATTTGGTTTCAAAATGAATGTTCCAGTTTGTTTCACCTGAAAAAAGGAGAAAGGCAGTTATGAAAATTGAGTTATACCTCTTGACCTCTAATAAGATTTCATAAATGACCATAAACAACTCTCGTTGATATTTGAACATTAGTCATGATTTATTCTCTTATTCTTTACGTTTGTTTCTGTCATAAACTGATCTCTTAAAGGAAAAAAGCTTTACACATTATACCTGAGCCATCCAAGTGGCTGAGCAATCCCAGTTTACCTGGAAAAAAGAAAAAAGATTTTTAAAACAAAAATGGAAATATTCCAAATAAAAAGACTTCTATAAGATAGTGCAATATATTACACAGTTGTATGCTGAATTTTACTTCTCACTAAAACACTTCAAAAACCTTCATCAAGGTACTGTATATTCAGATAAAGCAAAGGAAAACTTACACTTAATGTTTTCTTTTCTCCTAAGGAGACTATGAACCAGTTCCCTTCTGTTCCCTCTGTCATAGGCGGCATGTAGTATGGACGTCGGTAATACTTCCTGAACACTTTAGCTGCTTCTTTCTCACAATTCTCCCTGATATAAGAATTAAAAGCATGTCCCGTAACTAAAGCAGGATTTTTTAATCTTCCACATGGGTAACATGATACAAGAATAAACAAGCACATCCAGTAACTAAAGCGGGAGATTTTATTCTTTTGCATGGGTAACATGATCTAAGAATTAACAAGCATGTCCAGTAACTAAAGAGCATTTTTTATCCTTACATTGAGGAAGGATTTGATTTTTGTTATTTTCTTGAGTTATTTTCTTGAATCCTGCAAAGGGACTTGGGCAAGGATTATAGGTTTCACTTTAATTGCAAAACAGGGGCATTGTATAGAGCCTAGGTTAACAAAACTTTTCTGCATTTAATTACACAACAGTAAAGTCCAGTTTCTACTCTCTTACCAGAAAGCCTGGAATTTTTGTTCTTCCCCACTCTGAACAGCTGAAAGCAGCTCCTGGGGAGTCTGGTACTGTGGTAAGGTTGTTTCAAACTGGCATTCTGTTCCAGAGTATTTTAAAACCTCATTGTTCTCATAGATCTGCAGACAACATTAAAAATTTTTGCAAAACCATATTATCAATTTTGCCAGTGTATCTTCACCCAAAAAAATAATCTGTGATTGTGGCTAACAAAATATACATCATTAATAAAAAAAATATATATAACAAAAAAGAAAGCTGATATTAGCAAGTCCTTAGGTGAAGTCATATATGGGACAATTCAAAAACAAAGAAAAGGTATTAACAAGGAAGATAACTATAACTAAAGTAAAACCCAATTACATTTGGCAAATAAAATAACAAATGCATTACCTCAGTCAAGAAATTAAGATCAAATTTTTTGAGAGCTTCCCAATCATCCATAGCATCAGTGACAATCACAGGAATGTTTGAAAAAAGAAAGTCATCTGCTATTCTACTGGTGCTAATATTAGCTTCCCTTGTTACTGTTCGGAAATCTTTGCACGCATTACAATCCTCCTCCGTCAGCTGATCTTGAACATAGTAAGGGTTGTCAATGACACATTCATAGTTGTAAATTTCTGTCCAGTCCCACTATGGCAGAGCCTGAAAAAAAAATGTTGGTAAAATAAGGTTAAGAAGTTCTTGTTTGCAAAGAAATATTTGCTTGATAATTTTGGCCGAGTGTGTTTTTGGCTTGGTCCTGGGAAGATATGAATTGGCATTTTAAGCAGAAAAAGAATGAGAAATAAGACAGAAATATTCCTGTGTGACCCTATTCTTCCCTGAATCAAAATCGCAGTCCCAAAGGTAATCTTGACTATAGTTTTCTTTAGAGCAAGTAATGTATGTGTGATGAAGTATAGTATTATACAAAAATCTTTCCTATAAGACATTCAGATATCAATTACCAATGAAGCTAAGAGTTGTTTACCTTAGTGAGAGAGAAAAAAATTATTCAAAGATATTTATTGATGCCAACATAGTGTATATATTTTAAGTATGTATACAGATTTTTATTTCTATTGGGGAGTCAGCTTTATATGAAGATTAAGTTCTTCCCTGCTGGCACCCTATTTGCATTTATACTCTTTTGGTCTTTTAGCGAAGGGCTAACGCTCCGACGAAGGGCTAACACTCAAAACGTCAGCTTCTATAATCATAACGGTGGCCAATTTACCATTTCAACTTTGTTGATATATTGAAATTATTTCGTTATCCCCACCAACGCAGCCCCAAACAGTTTCTTTAGAAACTATCAGCCTTTATTCATTTGTATGCAAAATAAAGTTGTTATAAATAAATAAATTCTCAAAAAGAATTATCTGTAATCCAGCACTTGATTAGGAAAGATTTTCATATAACCCCATACATTAATTATGCATTCCATTTCATAAAGACTAAATATAAAGGTTTCTTTGCAACACTCAATGTATAATTAATGTATGGGGTTATATGGAAATCTTGACCTTAATTCTCACAGTCCCTTTCTTCACCCGGGAGAATAAATGGGTACTGGCAAATGTACTGCTGGGGTTAACCCTACCATGGACTAGCATTCCATCCGATGGGCCGGGGAGAACAAACACTCCGGGTCGATTCATGCAACGCGCGGAAACCGGATTTAAGCGCCGACCCGAAGGGCCACTTGGTTCGTAAACAGGCTTTACCCTACCAAACTTAACGGACATATTAGTAAGCGAAAAGTAAAAATAAATTTCAAATCTTTGAGGACAAATAATAATAGTAGCTAGATGAAAATACTGAAAAAATACATAATAAATTAAAATTAAAATTTGTGCTTTACCTTCATGGCTACGAACTTGCCATAAATACAGATTTCACGGTAGGTGGGATCATAATAAAACAAAAAAACCATCAATGCCGTCAGCAAAGCAAATGAAAACAACCATCTAAACCAGTGAAGGTGTTTTTCCTTGCTCTGAACAGCAAGCAAAGGTTGTGCGCATTGCTCTATTTGTGGCTGAGTGTAACCGGCTTTGACACAAAATTCATACAGCTGCCGAATCTCACTGTCGATTAAGTTGATCTTTTCTTTTAAAGATAGATTTTGTTCTTCTTCAGTAACGTCCGAAGACACAGTCGGGAAAGTTTGGAAATTGTCGTCCGCCATCTTCGACCAATAATAATAAGGACCAATGAAGAATCGCTAAGCATCAAAAACATCTCGAGAAGAATACACCTTCTGATTGGTCAATTAGTCATAAGTAACCAATCAGGGAAGTTCTTTTATTCTCGCATGGCGACTAAACGTAAGCTGTGGCAACTGAGAGTGGGAAAACACATACATAAAATCATTGATATCTTTGGAAAGCCTCATTTGTTCATCAAAGGGTGTCATGCGTCGAACAGTTCAACCTAGAAGATCACCAAGTCCAATGTCTACTCATTCACCTTTCAGTGCGAGAGATGTTCGAGAGAGGAAAACTTCTTTTTCGAAGGCTCCTCCTGGTGAGGATCTTCAAGTTATTGAGTGGAATATTGCTGATCAGCTTCGTCAAGTCAAGTTTCATCCGGAACAAAGCAGGCAAGAGTATTTCATGGTGTATAAAAATTCATTTGACCAACTCATTGAAAGCAAAGCTGTGGTTTACAAATCGATTTTGTCACAGATCAAAGCAGAGTATGAGGAGTTCATCGATACTCTGGAGAGAGGTCAGAGCCAGACAATCTATCTTCAGGGAATGCTCAAGGCTCTGTTGTCGGAGAAGGCAAATGTAAGGCATTTTGTACAGAGAGGTGATGAGCTTGAAGAGAAAATTGCAAAGCTTAGAAAGCATAACACTCAACTAAGGGAGAAACTTCACATTTTAAGAGCAGAGAGAGTTCGGAGGTTGGCATCTGCAGAAAGTAAGTCGATACATTCTGTTGTAAAAGAAACAAGGCTTCTGATTCCTGGCTTGTCCTTGAAAGAACTCACTGACTTGCCTACTTTGAAGAAGACTCTATCCAGATTAGATGCGCAAGTATGGGAGCTGAAGGAAGCTACAAAATCTAAATTTGCAGAGCGAAACCAGAAACAGGTTTTGAAACAACAGCTCATGAAGAAGGAAAGTGTGAGAGATCATGTGTTTGCCTATCATGGAGAATTAAAAGGAAGGTGTGAGACCCTTAAAGTTGCTGTTGAGGTAAGATCAGCCGCCTCTATTTGGGTCTTTGTTCAAGTCCTCTGAGGATATAATTTGTTTCAGCAATGTTTGCCTAGTTCAGGTGATTGTTCAGCGAGACAGACAGCTTGGTCTATAAGGTCAATATGTTGTATCTTACAATGTTAACTCTTTTTTTCTTTTTCATTCGAAAAAATGCACTAAGATCTTGGGTAACAGGTTAGCCCAGTTCAGGCTGATTGAGATCACATAATACAAGTGTATAATCCACCTTAGAAACTCCTAAAAGAGGGGAACAACCTCCAAGGGAGTCAACAAGATTTTACTTTTATTAAATTTTTGAGAGGAGACCATCCACCTTTCTTAACACTTTGAAAAAATTTATACTGTCTTATGTTAATTTCATGAACAGGCGGCTAGAACAATGGTTGATAAACCAGACCAGGATGTTCATGTTATTGATGTTATAATTCGAGAGCTAGCAAACTATGGTAACAGCAAGTATGGGAAGAAAAGTGATTCCTTACAGTTCTTTGCAAGCTTTGATGAGGATGATCCCTTAAAAAAGAAAGAGGCAGAACATTTAATTGAGTACGTTGATCACTTCAACAATTTATTTGACTTTGGACAGTTCGAACTGGCTGCAATGCATGCTGCCAACTCACCAATGGGAATTCTCAGATCGTATGAAACCATGATCAAATTCAAGCAAGTTGAGTGTAATGAAGGTGAGGTGTCACCTCTATTGGTCTTCTGTGATGCTCTAATGGCTACAGCATCAGCTGCACAACCTCTCACAGGAGCTATGTCCTCGGAATGTATTCGCTGTGCACTCAGTGAAGGACGTCTGGACCTTGCAACCCACTGGCTTGCTCAGGAGAAGTTAACATTTTCTATTCCTCTTGGCGATGCTTTGTACAACTTCTGCCCATGCCTTCAAAACTGTATATGCACCTGTATTCCTTTGGCACAGACTGTTTACATGAAAGTCGGTGCACATCATCAAGTTATTACTTGTCTTTGCAGGCAAGGAAAATTCTCAATCATGTTGAATTATGCACAGAAGCATGCCAAATTCACAACAGAGGATTTTAGATCTATCCTCATGAGGAATCCTTCTCCAGAACTAGCAAAGCTTATGCTCAGTAATCCCAGCATGGAGGGCAGGGTTGGGTTGTTGAGTTTTGCATCTGTTGTTGGAGCATTTTTAGATGACAACCAACCAGAGATGTTAGTGAATGTATTAAAGCATCTCTCTCAGAGCAGCTCTAATGACTTATCTACTGTGATTACAGATGCATTGTTAAATGAGACAAGGAGTGACAATATGGATACAGACAGATGGCTGTCAGTTGTTGATATGTGCCAGGAATCTGGTTTGCTTGGAATTGGTGTTGAAATATTGTCCATTCTCACCATAAGGGAGGCACTAAACAAAGCTTCCATTGCTTTCAGTATGGATTACATTTCTTAAGCCAAAATTTGAGACTTTTGAAGACAAAAGGCTTATTCAGTTCAAAAGTGGTCTCATATTTTCAAAACTTAGTAACAAAGACACTAGAATCAAGATTGAACTAGTTCAGCATTTGAGAACGTAGAAGTTGATTGTGCAGAAGAAGCACAAACCCAACACCCATTTCAGAGACTTCATTAAATGGTTCAGTGTGAAAGCCACATCTGTCTAATTGTTAGGAACCAATAAGGTGTCCTGCTCAAGTAAATTAATTTTACTAATTTAAAAGCATCCATTCAGAAGGGATACACAAGGACCTGAGCTGAGGAAAATACAAGAATTAGGAACTGCTTTTTTAAAGACAAAGACAAGTACCGGTATCAGTCTTAGTGGTGTGTAAGGAGTCAAGTCCACTATCAATGGAACATTAAACATTATGGACTTAATATGAACCAACATAATGACTAGATCCCAGTTGGCTTCTTAGCTCAGTTGGTAGAGCACTGCACTGGTATTGGAGAGGTCATGGGTTCAAATCCCATACAGGCCTGAACTTTTTTCAGGCTTTACTCCACTACCACATGGGTAGGGTTCATCATTGCAAGGATGGCTTTCATACATTTCAGAAACAATGTCACACATCTTTGTTTAAAAAGACTGTTTGTAAATCTGTGTCTTCTGTCTCCCTGATCAAGACTCAAAATGTTTTCCTCTCTGTTACACTACAATACTTCCAGAGTGATAAATATTTTCTATATTTTAAGCATTCATACTTTTAGTTCTGAAAGATGTAATAAATATATGGTACAAAACTAAATATGCAAACAATTCACAGTAAAACAAAAAGAAAAAACTTTGAATGACTAGGAACAAGTCACTAAGTGTTCTTATATAGGAAACTCTTTAGCTTCGAAAAATAACTGAAAAATTGGTCATTGACCAGATTCATTCTATCATGTTCCACTCAAGAAGAGATAGTGTAAGATGGTTAATTAAGCACTATGGTATTATAAATGGCTTACTAAATGATCTTGAAATGTCTGAAAAAGAGGATCCACATTGAAATTTTCAAGTAATCCTCATCAAGCTGTGAATTAACAATCTCCTGGTGGAGAAACGTTTATATTTAACCCACACTCACTGTTGCCTAATTTCTCAAAGTATTGATTCACACTGAGCCCTTTTCTAGTTTTCTTTATGATTGGGTGTACTGATTGTCCATACTATTTACAAAACGTTCTTGAGAGTCAATTTGTCCTATATCTCATATCTTCTAAACTTGCTGATGTGTCTTCCTTGCTTGGAACTCCATCCATGTCTTCTGTGTAACTTTGATAACTTTAAATTGTCATCATTGGATGATACTAAGCGTTTTGCCTTTAGGTTCCCGTCAAAGAATTCATCCAGAGGATTTGCTTCAACTAAAGTATAACAAAAAATAAATAAATGATTAAAACTTCCAACAGTCATTTTACTTTTAAATGGTGTGAAAGAGCTAAACAAAGCTAGAAGATTCTTTTCAACAATCCCACAATTTCCTAAGATTAATTAATGCCACTGAGTCTGGCAGTTGTACAGAATTTCAGGGACACAATTTTGACTCGGGGCATGATCATTTTCAGCAAGGATGCCTGTAAGACCCCATGAAAAGTTTATGTGTAGCTTAGAGGGGACCCTTGAGTTATAACTCACCTTTTCTGTAGTCAAGCATGAGTTCTTTTCTGGGTTTAGCAGCCCAGTGTAATGATGTATGTACTGCTCCACTGAGCCCAATCCATTGACCATAAGGTACAGCTATTCCTGATCTGCGCCAAAAGTCATACTTCTTCCTGCTTTCCTCGTCGCACAGAATACTACGAGCATTTTGCAATCTGAAATGAGATTTTTTTGGTTCAAACTGAGAGGGGATGGTAAATATCGCACATTTGCGCCATTTCCTCGCCAGTTGTTAAAAATTGGCAAAGCCTTAATATCATTTCTTAGCCTGCTCCAAATGCTTTCATGTGAAAGTTCGCACTTTTTGAGGATGTTGGCGTATCTCCCTTTTGTGACGCACTGACACGCCCTCCTACCGCCCCCCAACCCACAAGGAATAAATCAGTGGCCCCTTGTTTCATATGCGAAACATGAAAAATACCAAACAATGTTCTTTTCTCTTAGTTTAAAGATATGTTCCTGTTCTTCGGACTAAATCACATCATGATGTCTTAAATATAAAGTACAATGCCTCCAGGACAAGATCGGCCGGCTTCTCCGAAGATTTGGTAACGGGGACTATCACGGTAACACGCAGTGAAAATCACATGAGAGTTTGCCAAATTCAACTTTTTTCCTCCGCAAAAATTTGCGTCACAATCCCCTGAAATTTAAGAAAAAAAAAAACCTTTTTTCGTTAAAATCAACAAATTTGACCGTTCTAAATTATCAAGAGACTGCTCATGGGAACTCTGATCAAATTAACGACCATTAGAAACTCCTGTAATTAACGAGACCGCAAACACAAACCTTTGGAACAACTTGGCTGTGTTTTCATCGCCAGGGTTTTTGTCTGGATGGAGTATTTTTGCCTTTTGTCGAAACTCAGTTTCAATTTGCTCCGCAGTTGCTAACTCGTCACATCCTATCAGAGCATAGAAATCGTCCTCTTTGATTTTGTTCATCAACACATCAAAAAAATCTTCCATCTTTGAGCGACTCGTCACTATTTCTAACGACGCAACAAACAAAACAATAACAATATTTCGGTAGGGTGGGGGTCGCCAGGGGCTGGTTGTTCGCAAGGTATGCCCATTTTGAGCTACAGTCGGTAAAAAAGTGGTCGAAACATGGTAAGGAAGAGTATAAAAATATGATAAAGAATCGACTGTACGAAAAATTGTACGACTGAACAAAAGAGGTATTGTTATATTCATACCCTACCCTACCCTACTACTCATCGCTAGATTGTCATATGCTTGGTCACAAAGCCAGGTGTTACGTAGACCTAACGAGGAAGTTCTATCATCGAAGAAGAAATGGCGGAATGTCCAGAAAGTTCTAGTGATACTGTCACAGTTACCGAGGAAACGAGTGGTAGTCCATCGGTATGTACTGCATTCTTCATCATGTCAAGCAAATCATTCCTCTTCAAAGCGGTCAGATTTATCATAATTTTGAACCGCTGGAACAGCTGATTGATCCCTCTGTATCTTGCTGTTAAAAATAAATGTCCGGTTTAGATGGTTTTAAATTAGCTTAATCGGTACTGAACTAGCTCACAACTACTGACCATAATATCTTGAACAGAGAAAGAACCGAGAAAACTAATTTTGGCAAAATTTCCTAGTAACCCCATACTTCATTATACATACAATTCTTGGATAAAAGAATGCAGATGCAAAACAACAGATTAGGGACTTAGAGCAGTCAGGACGGCAACCCCAGGGAAGACGTCGATTAAAAAACGAGTTTCTTCTTTTAGTTAGAATTTCGAAAATGGCTGCATGTGTTTACCGTCTCATAGGGCGCCAGACCTCAAACTCAACATAACGTATAAAAGTAGCGTTGAGTTCCAAATGTAAATTAAAATAATTTGCCGCCGCGGTTTCGCTTCGCAGACGACGCAAATTTTGGTGATTTCACGTTGTTGTTT